CATTAAAACATTAATCTCCTTTGTTTTAACTGAAGGGCTTAAATATGGCCAGTGCTCCTGTCAGATTCGTAAGGTTACTAAGGCCCAGTTCATACATCACGAGAGAAATCCTATTCAGGCATTTTCTTTGTGCGTAGATTATATGCCTGAGAAGAGGGAAAGCACTGCCCCCCACAACTCCTCCTGAATACTTGATTTCACATTATATAAATGATGTCTATAAACAGTTCAGACTCTCCTCCCCATGCCTAGGAAGGCGACAGTCTAGGATAGTGGTTCTCAACCTGTGGGTCCCCAGGTGTTTTGTCCTACAACTCCCAGAAATCCCATCCAGTTTGCCAACTGTTAGGATTTCTGGAAGTTGAAGGCCAAAACATCTGGGTACTCACAAGTTGAGAACCACTGGTCTAGGAGATGGAGTGGGCAGGGCAAGCACACACCTGTTCCTCATGCTTCTACTTTATTCATGAAATAAATGCATTTTCATAGACATCTGAATGAGTTTATATTTGCTGATAATCCACCATAACAGTAGGTTCTAAACCCACAGATTCAGTTAAAATATTTGTGGAGAAAAATTACAAAAAGCAATCCTTGATGTTACCATGAGCTAGCTCTACCCTGATGTGCAGACATAACCTGCTGTAGCCTAATGCCATTTCACAGATACTCATTTGAGTGGTTCACTTTTTATATGAAGGACACCATTTTACTATCCCATTGTATATAATGGGGCATGAGTATCCACAGATTTTGCTATTTGTGGAGAATCTGCAATCAGACCCCAGTAGATATGTCAGATGTACTGTAGTTTTTTTAAAAAAAAGTGTGACTAGAGTAATGCACATTTGACAATTGATTGTATACCTAAGACAGCTTGTGGTCCAAATGGGAGGTGATGCCTAGCACTCCCTGTTTGGAATGTATGTCACTGATAAGTATATATCACTTGGGTATTGTGTATGGCTAAACTACACAGCTTTGCAGAGTAGCATTTGGTGATCACACGTAGATATACTGTATATGCATTCAACTTAACATTTGAGTTCACTCAAATAGGGAAGCTGATGAGGAAACACAACATACAAACAATCTACAAACCCACCAAGAAAATCCAACAAATGCTACGTTCAGCAAAGGACAAGAGGGATCCTCTCACCTCTGCAGGAGTCTACCGATATACCATGCAGCTGTGGACAAGTCTACATAGGGACCACCAAACGCAGCATTGCCCAAAAACGAATCAAGGAACATGAAAGGCACTGCAGACTACTTCAACCAGAGAAGTCAGCCATAGCAGAGCACCTGATGAACCAGCCTGGACACAGCATATTATTTGAGAACACAGAAATGCTGGACCACTCTCACAACCACCAGGTCAGACTACACAGAGAAGCCATTGAAATCCACAAGCATGTGGACAATTTCAACAGAAAGGAAGAAACCATGAAAATGAACAAAATCTGGCTACCAGTATTAAAAAAACTCTAAAATTACAACAGCAAAACAAGCAGAGAGGAAACAACCAGGCACATCTTAACACCTCTCAACAAAAGATTTTCCCAGGCTCAGCCAGGCCTTCAAATGCTAATGAAGGTGGTCAGTTGAAACATTCACACCTAGCTCCAGCAGAGAAGAGCTCTTTGCACCACCCCAGCCATTCCACAGATATATAAACCCATTGTCCTAATTCCAACAGACCTCACTACCTCTGAGGATGCTTGCCATAGATGCAGGCGAAACGTCAGGAGAAATGCCTCTAGAACATGGCCCTATAGCCCGAAAAAACCCACAAGAACCCATTTGAGTTCACTTTTTTTGCATTTGGCTCTTTCTGCACCGTTTTAGCCCTGTGATTTCACTGCAATGGTCATGACTTTATAATATGGAATCCAGGGGTTTGTAGTTTAATTAGAAGCATCAGATTAGTTCCCTGGCTGAGGAACTGAAAGGCCCTCACTCCACTGTCAATCCCAGGATTTCATAGGATGTTGCTATGACAGCTGGAAGTGGAATTATAACACTTGTCATTGAGTAGTGTGAAAGCACCCATTGTAATGGCAGTTTGAGTTTTGGTCAAAACTCCATGTCACGTCAGGCAGTGGCTACCCACACTTTGATGCAGATGATGGTGGTGGTGACAACAGCATGATAAAAGTGATGTCAGTTGCTTATGTTATCTCTTCAAATTAGAGATTGAAGTATGCAGAACTCAGATGGTAGTAGCTACAGAGCAGCTGAACAGTAGAGCCCTCTACTGGCCTTAAACAGAGGTGATCTGGATTGATGTTATTCCAGGCCATCTTCCTCAATCTCCTGAGAAGCAGAGACTTATTTAAGGGTACAGCTACATTATAGAATTAATGCTGTTTGATCCCACTTTCACTGCCATGTCTGAATGCTGTGGAATAATGGGAGCTACTGTTTTACAAGTTATGTAGCTTTCCCTGCCAAAGAGTGCTGGTTCCTCACCAAACTGCAAACTCCAGGATTCCATAGTATTGAGCCATGGCAATTAAAACATTAATTCTGCACTTTAGGTGTAGCCTTAGTTTTCCCTTCTAAATCCATACAAATGTATTCTATTATATACTTTTTACTCCTTTTCCTGCTACACTATGTAAAACAGGGTGTGTCTTGTCTTGTGGATAAACCATGTCATGCTCCAACAGCTTAGTGAGGCCAGCTAGCTGTGCATATTTCTATTAGCTTCACAGGTTTCTGCAGCCATTTCTATTTTTTTGCTTTAACTCTACCCAGGAAAGAAGTGCACAGCTCCAGGCAAGTTGTCCATCAGAGAGAGGCAACGGCTAGATAGATCTCTCCCATCAATGCAGGCACAGAGAGCTTGCTTTCCTCTTACCTTCCCTCAGGCAAAGTAGATAGAATAACATTGAGTACCTTTGGCAGGTAAGAGAAGATCTCTCCCTTGGGTTTTGCCAGAAAACACTCTCATGCACCTCAAGTCCAAATTGAAAGGATAGTGTCGGCAAAAAGGAGTTTGATACAAAAACAAATTGGGAATGGGGATAATGCAGGAACTTTTAAAACAGGACAAATAGTAAGAAACTTATCTGCCCATCTTTTGAGACCGAGGCCAGGAAGGCCGGGGGGGGGGGGGGGGGGGGGGGGGGGGGGGGATGATGTTGTAGCAGCCAAAATCCCCAACGAGCAGTGCTGGCTAAGGACCTCTGTATTGGCAGTTTCTGGACACAATTCACCTTTTGAAGGAAAATGATCATAAGTGTAGGGGGTCACCTTGAGACTATTCAGAATATGACATTCTTGGGGATCTAAGAAGATGAAGGAGTAACAAAGGAAAGAATACAGGTATCTTAATCCAGTTGGTTTTTTTGTTGAGATCCTAAGCATCTCTAATAAACTCATTTTAAACAATCTTATGGCTGTCAGGTAGCCAGGAAGGCAATCTTCTTTTTTTTAGTCCAGGAAATGGTTTTGTAAGATTTTGTTTAAAAGAGATGTCTGTTGCTATCTCTGGCAGACACCCTAGATTAGATGGGTTAGTGATTCCCAATCTCTAGTTCTCCAGATGGTTTGGACTTTAGCTGCCAAACATCTCAGCTGCTTTGGCCAATGGTCAGAGATTGTGGGAGCTGGAGTCCAAAACACCTGAAAGGTCAGAGTTTGGGAAACATTGGGCTAGACTAGAGCATATGTGCTGTGTATGGAAGGTCCAGATTTATCACCTGACGCTTCCACGATGGACTGAGAAAGAGCCCTTTCTAATACCCTGAAGAGTCACTTCCAGTTAGTTATGGCATTACTGGCCTAGACGAACTAATGGTTTAACTTAGCTAAGGCAACGTCCTGTTTAGTGGATCTGGAAGCTGAAAGGATGATATATTTTGGACTATTTGAAACATAGAGTTTTAGAACAGGAAGGATCCACGAAGGCTATGTAGTCAAAGCCCGTGCCTTGCAGGAATAAAGTTATTAACAGGAAACCTGCATTTGTGAATATTACACTGTAGAAGTGTTACAGTGATTCCCTAATCTGGCATAAAAAATATCTTTGATAAGGAATCAATGAAAAGAAATAAAAATTGCCCAACCAGTGTAGATACCTGTGGCCTATAGCTCTCATGACCAATCATGTGTGGGGTGCATGTGCCTTCAGCCTCATGAATTTCATAGGGGCTTCTTAGGCAGGAATGTTTTTGCCATCTTCTTCTTCTGAAATATGACTTAGAGCTTCTAATCTTCATTGTCAGTGCCTGTCCAACTACTAATCAGGGCTGACCTTGCTTAATTCCAAAATCAAATGGGAATTGGTGCCTTCAAGGGTTCAGGCAGTTTGTAGTGTTAAAAGAAATACGTTGGGGATGTCTCGAGATGGATGATTGCTTGTGTTGTCAGTTTAAAGATATTTCACAGCCTTTACCACTGAACTGGATTTTTTTTATATAAAAGGAGAAATGGGAGAAGAAAATGGTAAGAAAACACAGAAATTTTTTGCAGAACATAATAATCTGTGAATAAGACAGGACAGTTTTATTATAAAATCATAATCTTGAAGCACCATGCAGTGTCAATTGTGTGCCACAGGTCTTCTATGTGAAAGAAGGGAGGAAAGAGTTTAAAAACATTTTGGAACAGATTGTTTTCCTTTTGCTGTCCAAACGGTTTTATACAGTAGGGCAAAAGGGACATGCGGGGGGGGGGGGGGGGGGAGAGAAAACCAGGGTCTTCTTAAAAAAACAATTTGCAAACCATGGCTACCTAACTACCTAAATAACCCTCTCTCCACCTTGTAAACGTGTGTGTTTTCATTTAAAAGGGAGTGGGAGGTGTGAGAAATTGTGAGACATGGTGCGAGAGTTGGGAGGAAGTGACAACATTGCGATGGAAGGGCTCATGTTAAAAGCTGCAAAAAGAAGTCAGAATTGGAATTGGCAGATATTCAGTCAAATTTTGGGGAGCTGTTTTTGCTACCAGGTGGTTACTCATGTGATCAATACCTGCCTCTGTTTTCTCCACAGCCTCTGCTTGGACAGGAGGAGAGCTCCAGCGGTGGAGGTGCCCAAGCAGCTGCCCAGGCTTCCAAGGGCCAGAGCTTTGTGCAGAACCACTTCCAGGCGCAGTACAGGTATGCATAGGCTGAAAACACCTACCTCTAAAATAGTTGGTTGTAGATGCTGAAGGCAGGCTAAAGATGCAGACGGTCTGTGAGCTGAGACTGCCACCAGGACAGTGGGCTTTGGAGTCCTTAGCAGCATGGCCAAACTGACAGCTACCCAGTAGAAAAGGTTAATTTCCATCAGTGACTTCGTTAGATGCTAGTTTGGGGGGGGGGGGTTGCATCAGCAAGGCAATTTGAGTCTGGTAAAAGATATGAAGGCTGGAAATGGGGGAGTGGATTTTCCTCTGTTACTAATCTTCCTACATAGTTCTCATAGCTTTTGGAGGAGGGGGATGGTTCATGCCTGTACACTTTGATTTTATTTGCTTAATTCTGCACTTTAAAACCCTTGGTAATTAATCTTCTATCGGTGTCATCTAGGAGGGGAGGATACACTTCAACCCGCGGTTTCCCTATTTAGACACAGTCATGGGAAATTGAACTGCCAGCCAGAGATAGCCTGAGTAGAATTAGTTGTTTAAGGACCTATCCCTTGCTATAAGAGGATGCTGGGCTCCAGCAGCAACAGGACTCAGATCCCTCTTTGCTGTATGACAACTCTTGCATTATTTACCACCAATAAAACTGATCTCAAAGCAGTAATGTGTCAGTACTAGGCACCAAATGAAGTCTTGGGGAGGTCTGGAATTATACTCAATTCTGGCACAAAACAGGTAGATATTTTGTAATGATACAGAATTCCTCAACAGGTTGTCTTCTGTAGCTAGAATGGAGGCAACAGCTTCCTGTCTCACTACCACCAGCTCATCAGTGCAAGAATGATTATGATACCACCCAACCACTGCTTTGTTAATTGCTTCCGCTAATATAATTATTACTCCCTGTACATTTAGAACTTCAGTTCTTCCTGATTCTACTGTTTACAGTTGGTCTTCCTGCCCACACATGTATATCTCACTCTGTTATATGATATAATAATGAAAGCATCCAATGAAATGGACAATGGATATTAAAGCTTATTCTGTAATGAAGTTGATTAAGCCCACAAACTCTATTGCTTTCCCCAGCATAGGTGTTTGGCATAAATTGCAGGGAAATAAAGGCAACACTTCTGCCCAGATGCAACCAGAACTGGCTCACCCACTTGTTCACAATGCTGTGAGATTTTGCTACATGTCTGTAATGGTAACACTGGTAGTGTAGGGCTCACATCCATGCACTAGTAGGCTGGTTTTGGAGACTAACAGACCTACCATATCTCTGTGTTTCCTGAACTCCCCAAGGTTTAATACTCTTCTTTTGTTTTCCTCTGGGCTGCTTAAAATTCAGGAACATTTCTTTGCTTCAAGTACATCCTTATGTGAATTCAACTGCAGGTAGCAGTGATGTTTTCCCCAGGGACAATAGATAGTGTTGCATCATAATTTAAAGGTCTGTTCCCCTTTAGGTGAAATGTTCCCCTTTCATTTTTTTTGGGGGGAAGGGGGATCATGTTGGTTGTTGTTTTTTTTTACATTTTATTGAGTACATGGTAACACAGTATGTGAATAGATAATTAACAACTATTTTTTGTATACCTTCTAGATATTGAAATATTTCTATATTATCTATTCACCTCTATATTATGAATATTTCTATATTATCTATTATTTCTTCTCATTACATTTTTTATTTTTCTTTCCCCCCTCCACTTTCCCTTCCCCATCTCCCTACCACATTTCCCTTTATATCTTTATCTTTAACCATGAACACAGTTTTCTTAATCTTTGTTCAATTTATATACTGGTTTCATCATCTTCTATACATTTCATATACACCACCCATTTCTCTTTAATTTCCTCCAGTGTACCTTCCTGAACTACAGATGCTATAATGTCCTATTGTACTTGCTCAAATAAGTAGTTATTTCAATTTTCCGAATTCCATTTTTTTCATCTCTCCATCCCTAGGCTATTACAGCCTTTCCTGCTAGGACCATTGCCTTGAATAAATCTTGATTCTTCGCATCCACATTTTTGTTCCCCATTATTGTCATTAACATAAATTCCGTGTTTACCTGTATTGGTATTTTGAATAATTTCTCCATTTTTAAGTATATTTTCCCAGAAAGTTGTTATGTTTAGACATACCTACCACATATGTGCCACATATGTGCACACCAACCTTTCTCTGCTTTACAATGCCAACATATTGGGCTTAGTCCTATTCCCATGTTTGATATTTGACTGGTGTCCTATATTATTTCCATATAAACTTTTTCGCTGTTTTGCAAGTGAAGCAGCTCTGCATTCCTTCGTTATGCTGAGCTAGGTGCAGGAAAGAGGGAAATACTTCAGCCTGGACAAGGCAGCAAGCGAACCCTTTCCTTTGCATGCAAGTGCATTCATGTGTTGTTGCTGCTACTTCACAGCTTTGACAGTGGGATGAAAGAACTGGGAGCAAAGTTTGGAACTCCTGGTGTGAGGCTGCTCTCAGAGATAAGGTTTTAATGGCCATTCTTTGGCAGACCTTTCTATTGTTAACCAAACCCCACGACACATCGCTCTGCTGTGTGTACTGAATTGGGTGAACCCTTGTTCCAGGCTACAGCAGAAGCAGGGAAGGAAGCCACAAAGCAAAACAAGACTCACATGGGGGACCCTTGTAAGAGATGGTGTCCCTATCTTTCCTAGTATCTCAAGAGCAATGGAATTATACGAAAAGTGTAATGATAGCATAAAGGGAAGATACAGTAGTGTTTACAAAGATCTACACCGATCTCATCCAGATTTTAGTTTGTGTTTTGATTAGTGTGGACATTTGCACATCACCAAAAGAGAATAGAGGACACTCTTTAGACAACTGCATAATATATAATTTAAACATAATCATATATTTCACCTGGGTGGCTATGGCCTGATAAGGGGGCTCCTGTTTAATCTTCTGTTCAGGTGATAACTGTGGAAGGGTAATATCAATGTCCATGATCTCCTTCTTTGTGGTTTAACTCAGACTGGGCAGCCTTTTAACTTGGACTGAATATCCTCAAATGAGAGACTGTCCTCTGTAAAGGAGGTATATAACCACTCTAACTCAGATCTTGTTGAGATAACAAGGGTTAGAAGTAAGGATGGAAAAGTCTGACAGTTTAACTTTCTTTTGCATTCACATTTTGAAAATCCAAGGTCTTTCCATTCTGAAAGATTTGTGAAGTTTGGTCAATTCTGGAAAACAAACAGAAATTAAAGTTCTCCTTCTTGTGTATTCCTTAGAAGGGCCCTGTTTAAAAAAGTGCAGCCTTTCCTATTGTGCTTGCCTACATAAAACTTAAATATGTGGAAGTCCTTCGGTGAAAAAAAAAGAGATGACAAGCTTAACCCAATACTGATGAAGCTGAATTGACAGAAATCCAAACTCAAGCTTTTAAGAATGAACCACTCACACCCTAGGGCCTGAATGGCTGAATGAGGGATGGGCCGTGAGGATGATGAACCCATTTCCGTTATATAGCTGTTCTTTCTGCAGCTGCTCTGTGTTGTATGGGAGCTCTCAAATCCTCTGTTGAAATAGTGTTCAGTGCCTGGAGAGCTCATGTACAATTTCGAGCAGCTGTGAACTTAAAAGTAGATTTGCTGCTTTGTGGCAATGGCCTTACCAGTCACCTCAGGATGTATCTGTCAGTTTTAGTTCCTTCCATATAAGAGTTGTTTACATACCATTTTCCCTATCACAATGCAAAGAAATAGGACAATATTTGTCATTATTATCTAGTTGTGGAAACTACATTCCGAAGATTATACTGGAGCACATTTGTAAAGTTTCTTCTAGTTCTAGTTGCTCTTTCTATTCTTCATCTGTACCCAGCAGAGGTATGTGGGCTCCTTCAATGCAGAAACCAGACATGCAACTAGTCAAGGTTGTTAAAAATGTCTATACACCATATTGTTGCATTGCAGTTGTACCTATTGAGAAATACTGATATATTCTGATCCTTTCATGAAAGGTGGGGCATATCACAGGAAACAGAATTCCCTTCTATTTAGCTGCTCCAAGATCTGGGTGTGAAAATAAAATAAAACCCACACATTGCCATTGCCAAAATATACCCTGGAAAGGAGGAGAGCCCATGAGCTTGCCAAGATGCTACTGCTGCAGTATGAATTCAAATGAGGAGAGTAGCTGTGATGAATATGAGAGAAGCATTTCCAGGGGAGATTAAAAGGTTTCTAGTTTTGAGGAGGTGGTGACTTGAAAGAACCAGTATGCCAGATGAGGTTTTTGGAAGGGCTCACAATTCTTTGAGCTGAGGTTTGCTTTAATGGGACCCAATAAGACAAACTCAGATTTTGGCTGGCAGAAGCCTCATGCTTTCAAAGGAATGAGACATAGGCCTGTCCTCTATGCTGTGCACAAGCTGCTGGATCCAATGGCGATTACAGGGCCAGAACGACACTGACAGCTGTTAACCAAAAAGGCTCCTGCCTTAAGGGCCAAGGCATGTCAAACTGGGTTTAGGACAGTAAGCGGTTTACAGATAGTGTGGTTAAATTTATTCTGTTGCATGTGGGCTGCCGTGCTCATGATAAGAGGAGAACTAAGGAGAACTAAATGAAACAGGTGTATGAGGAATTGCCAGTGGCATATGTATTGGGAGTTCACATCCAGTGAACTCTACCATCTGTGCCAGAAAACATATAACCTCTTGTACCTGGCCATGGCTGTCATTTCAGGAGTGCCCAGTCTACCTCTGCCAGTGGCTTTGGAGCAAGGCCAGCTGCTGCATCTGCCTGACTGCCTCTTTTATCATGGCTGTCTGTTCCTGTCATTCAGTAAGCAGACCTCCCATTGCCAAATCTGCATAGTGGTTGTGTTATTTGGGAGAGCAAGCTGGGCTGTCCGAGGTGATTTCCATTACATTTTCAATCTGAGCTAGTATGAGTCTTGGTAATGGATAAAAGTGTCAGAGGCAAGCACGTTACATTTTAGTTAATGTTTTTGCTTGGACAAAAAGTGATCTTCTGGGGAAA